TGTTTCGTCCTCCCCGGATGGCGGCTGTCTCACAACTACCTCATTTCCGCGACTGAATCAGACTAACGTCGAAGTCAAATTCAAAAAGTTATGTTACGACCGACGGTCACTCGACCAGTCTATCTTGGAATCAAGCACCCATCTGGGGCTTACGACCAGATTTTAATACTGTCAGACAGTTGTGTGTTTGTGGCATGGGGCGCCTTCTCTGGTGAGAGGACGGGCCTGTCATTTACAGTTGCTCCTGGCCCTCGCCAGCGCAATCATGTTTACCGCCTACGAACTCTAGCGGCCATTTTATTTTATAAGTTTTAATACAAATTTTGTTATGGCTATTTCGGCTGGTATCCTTGTTATACAGCCTCGGAACGGACAGCATAGAAAACAGCACTTCCGACAATTCTTCTATTGTTACGTATGTGTATCCGTTGCCGCGGATAAGTGTTTATCGAGCTGTTACCAAGCAATGGCAGTCTTCTTCAGTCATCATGTCAGAATATTGCCTAGAAGTGAAGAAGGATGTGAACATGTACGCCATTAAACTGACAGACTAGAATCCTGTATTATGTTCCCATGCTTGTACGAGTAGACAATGTCCGTCTGTTTGATGCTCTGTCTGTGTTCAAGGCTGATGCAAGTGTATGGCATTTTAGATGCGGCCTACATCTACAAACTTTTTATGACAGTTTATCCTCACATTTCCTCTCCGCAAATTCTGGTGTTGAATGAAAATCATCAGGTAAACTAAGAACTTGCCAATACACCATCAATAACATTAATAGCCTTGCGTAGGCACATAAATTGCAATAGCCGAGCCTTGTCACACAGAATTTCTCGCCATCAGCGAATGGCGCTACTAGTGTGTCTACGGCGGCTTTATTTCTATTATTTAAATACGTACTTTTTTTAACGCTAATGGGGTGGGACTAAGTCCCTTGTACTGCGGCCACTTCTGGCCTATTGTACCTGCCCCAGATGATATGTGAGGGTGATTGTGGAGCAATTGGTGGAATGGAGACTGGCAGGGGAGACCGCAGTACTCGGAGAAAACCTGCACCAGCGCCACTTTGTCCACCAAAAATCCCACTTGACCAGACCCGGGATCGAACACGGACCGCCGCGGTGAGAAGCCAGCGACTAACCGCTTGAGCTATGGCGCGGCCTAAATACCTACTTAATAAGTGCACACTTCGAAGATTCTCAGTGTCATAGCCTGTGTACTTATATTTTAGTTAAAATCATCCATTTTGTCGAAAGAAGAAGTATATACTCGTATAACATGTTAGAAAGGACCAAAGACAAAATTAGGTCCTTTATACGAATTCCCGCCTATGAAATCAGGTTAAAACGTACATTATTTAACAAAAATGAATACTAACATATAGTACCATATTAATGGCCAAATGCAGTTTCATTCATTTAACAGATCAAATTCTAACTCCGCAAAAGAAATCGTCTTTCAAATTTGTACCAGTTGTGTCAAGACAAATAATGTTAAAATTGCTGGTTATCAGTACAATATACTCTTACTCTTGTTTCCAATTAAAAATATCCCAACACGCTAGTAAAGCATAGATGCTGATTGTAATCACTTTTATTAATAATATTACAGGCCAGGTTTGGGAAAAATAGAAAACGTTAGGTACGTAATTTCAATGCATTCTGTGCAGTATATTTTGACCACTGAAATGCTAGCAGAGAGTTCGTGTGAAATCAGCTGGTTGATTATTTACTTAATTAGTTACTTTTTTTTCCTTGGCACTACAGCCCCAGTGGGCCTAGGCCTACCTCCATGAACTCCGTTCACTTCGGTTTTTCTAGATCTTACACATTCGGTAGGACTCGTTGGGCGGGTGATCAGCTCGTCGCAAGGCCTCTACCTGTAGACAAACACAATTAGTTACTTAGGCTTACTTAAATACAGTATATGCGGTTGGGTCATTATTATTATTATTATTATTGTTCTACAGCCGTTTGTTGGACTTCAGTTGCCTTTTCAGTCCCTTAATCTTATACAGTGTCGGTAGGACTCTTTTGACTGGGGATCAGCCCGTCGCAAGACCTCTACCTACACACAGAACAACATAAATACAGAATAAACGTACCAAGACATCCATACCTCTATTGGGATTCGAACCCACGATCCCAGTTTTCGAATGAGTGAAGACAGTTTATGCCTTAGACCGCACAGCCATTGTGAACGGCTGTTGGGCCATAGTACCTTCAGATAAACATGAACTGCTTCCCACGCTGTCCTTCCGTATTCGATGCTGCATTAGCACTACAATTAAAACAACGTTATTTTCTTAAGCTGTGTACCCACGATTTTATCCTGAGAACGCATAGCCGATGTTAGCATGATTAACGTATGTGCAGCAGTTGATGGAATGGGAATTGAGAGGGGAAACCGAAATACTCGGAGACAATCCGTCCCAATGCCACTTTATGCATTACAAATCCCACATGACTTGGCCAGGGATAGAAACCAGGCCGCCGTGATTGGGAGCCCGTTACTAACTACCTGGGCTATAGAACAGCCGCCTCAGCATGGGTTATATTCTTTTTCACACAGAGTCTCACCGATTTCGCTGTATCTCGGAACAATTTCCCAGTATTCTAAAGTTGTGTTTTATCTGCATGTGGGAACTAGCTCGTGACACGTAAAACTGGGGGATCCTGGTATATCGGTGCGACAACTAGGATGTTAAGCGGTAATGAAAACACACATAAATATCATTGTTCTATAAAGTTGCTATCCAACATTCCAGAGTTTTCTCGGCTTCCGGTATCGAACTTTAGTGACATAGAATATGTTTACTTATTGCCTTTGTATAAGTATATCGAATTCATATGTTAACGAGTGGAAAGATTATATCAATAATTATTGATCGATATCAATTGTTTCCATAGCTCAGATGTTATAAGAAATTAAGAAAGAAAAAAGAAGGAGACCAAAAGGAAAGAAGCAGGCAAAAGGGCAAGAAAGGAAGAAAGAACCAAAGACAAATGAGAAAACTGGGATATATACATCGATTTTGTTGTGCTGGTAATGAGTTTACCATCGTTAGATGATGGTAGATCGTGTGAAGGCGTATTGAGTCATTTTCAAATATGCCTATTCTAATTTCTGGTGGGAAGAGGGAAGTGGTCTCATTAATGAAGCCTAATTTTATTAATAAAGAATGGTCCAGGATAAATCTAGCCCAACTCTTCAGTAAGCTTCATATCTTCACGGAGACGATTGGTAATTCACACTACAGTCCAAACTGGCGTTCCTTATGTTCAAACAAAATCATACAACTTTTATAAAAAGAGACAACTGCTCGTGTTATATAAATTACTTACCACGTAGGATTATCTCATTGCGATATATAAGCTTAAGCTTCAGAAACCGTGAAACAACGCCAATAATTGATTAACAGACGTATCAAGGTGCTACCAAGAATTAGACTAATGTGTAAAAGACAACCAGTCCCAATATTCATGCTAAACGTACGGATAAGTAATATCTAAAAATAGGCCTGCTTTAAGTTAAGTCAACCCTAACACTTCCGGATTAGGATTATGATAAAGAAGACATTCTGGGAACTACTAATCGCCTACTTTCTTTAGCATCTGATACGACACATAGAAAGAAAAATTTAGTACGCATGCGTAATGAAGTCAAGAAACAATAGAGTTTTAGATGCTGTAGTGTTAGTATTACTGATGGGAGTGATTTATAAAGTACACCTTTGAGATGATCCTATATGGCATGATATACATACCAAGTTTCATGAAGATTGGTTCAGGCGTTCAGGTAATATTAAGATTATTACCTCGACAATATGAGAGGCTGCAGCGTTGGTTTTGCTAATGAGAATGATTTAGGACGTATACCGTTGGGATAACCTTAGATGGCATGACACACATACCACATTTCATGGCGATCGATTCAGGAATTCAAGAAATATTAAGTTTTTCTTTTCACTGGTTCTACAGCACCCTTGGGCCCTGGTCTCTGGTTTTCAGTTTCATGATCATTTTACAGACGGTATGACTCATTGAACGAGTGATCAGTTCGTCGCTAGGTCTCTACTTAAACACAGGACAACACATACACATACCGAACATCCATGCCTTATGTGGGATTCGAACCCACGAGCCCGGCTTCCGAGGGAGCGAAGACAGTATATGCCTTAGAGCGCTCGGCTACCGTGACCGGTATATTAAGGGTATTAGCCCAACAATTTGAGAGGCTACAGTGTTGGTATTGCTGATGGGAGGAATTTATGATGTATGCCATTGAGATTGCCTCAGGTGGCATGACATATACATGCCAGGTTTCATGAAGATTGGTACAGGCATTCAAGCAATTTTAATGCCTTTTCTTTTTCTTCAGAAATTTGAGGCGTCGCAATGTTGATATTACTGATCGGAGAAATTTATGGTGTACGCCTTTAAGATGCCTGCATGTGGCATGATACACCTATCAAGTTCCACGAAGATTGATACAGGCGTTCAAATAATATCAGGTTTTTGTTTCGGAAATTTCAAAGGCAATATTATGCTTTTACCTTAGAAATTTGAGACGCTGTAATGTCGGTATTACTGATGGAAGGTATTTATGAATTATGCTGTTGAGATTGGCTCAGGTGTTTGATAGTCATACGAAGTTTAATAAAGATTGATTTAGGCATTCAAAAGTTGTTGGGGGGAAGATACACACGTAGAAACAGACACATGGGCAGCAAGGGGATCTCATTAGCCTACTTTCATTTTTTTTCTCCCAAAATAAGGAAAGTAGGCTAAGAAACGCCTCTACAGACGAGTCCTCGCTTATTGTGAGATAGTGTAAGCGTTAAGAAGCCTACACATTTATTGTCAAGTTTACAACCCTTACGATCATGTTTCCTATACTGTCGCTCAGCTAGATTCTAACAGCGGACACAGATGCCATCTACCGACAGGAAACCAAAAGACAAAAGAAGTACGCATGACAAGACACCTGGAAGCCGGTGCGAGATACCCATATGTGACTGTTTCATAATAAATTCGATACGTTGTTACAAAGTAACTGAGACTAATTGAATATTACATAATTCTCTCAGAAGTAGGTACATTTTATACATGTGGCTCCGGAAAGCCGGTGACATGGCCAAATATTGATCCTTCCATGAAGGGCAGTGTACAATGGCCAGAGGTCTACGTGGAAGTGAGAAGGGCATTCCAGAACATTCAGTATTGGTTGGTGGTCTCAATTGCAACCTCTATCAAAATCACATTAATAATGACAAGAAAGAAATTGGTGATATAAGTCATAACCAATTCGATGAAGGTCAGTGTGTTTTAGTTTGTGCATCCACCAGGAATGGCGCTGTGGATCGACAGGAGTGCTAATAATGCAACTTTCGTTGGTTCAAATGCTGGTGGTAGAATAGCAAATGGCGGGATCATTCGAAGACGTAGTCATCACGAAGAAAGCAAAGGTCTTCAGAAGCGAGGTTCTATATCTTGCTTCGAAAAATCAGAGTCTACTGTACATGCCCAAATGTTACTTCGGCGTCACTTGAAGTAAGTAGCCTGTATAAAATTGTAATGAATATTCCGATCTCGTTCTGTAAATTTAATAGTGACAATAGGAACAGAAACCTAGAACATCGTTATAAAAGTGGCAATGTTTATTAATTGTCCTGCGTATTTTGGATATTATTCTGAGAATTCCACTGTCGTTTCCTTTGTTGCTCAGACCGAATGTTGAAATTATCCTAGCTTTTTTCGGAAATGTTTTTGCAGTGGCTTATTACCGAATTAGGCCTACATACTAGCCATAACCTTGATGCTATATTAATATGTCTTTTTATCTGAAGGCATTGAGCTTCAGAGTCGAGTAGACTGCACTTCTGTTGCGCAATTTGGAGGTCCATTCCGGGTTCAAATCTTGGCCCAGAGACCGGCTACTGAACTTCGTTTCTCGTAGTTCCACGTCATCCCTCCAGACAATGTTGAAAGCGTCGTCAAATAAACCAGAAATAAATAAAATGAATGGAAGAGCCAAATGAAGTATGAGAGAGAGGAAATTAATGATATTTATATGTATTCGAGAATCATTAGACTCGAACATAGGATCGTAAGAAAGTTATGTTTTATGTGTTCTTTGTACAACGTGCATGAAATGCAAGCATGATTGGGAGGTCATGTATGTCTATACATGTGTTTTAGCTCCAAATATGTTAGTAGGTATTTACACTAAATTTGCCTCACGAATTTTAATGTACGTTTATGTTTGTTTAGAAATTGGCTGTAGGTTCTCAGGTATTCTAACTTCGTGATCCCACTCCTTGCTGTCTTTGTGCAACTTCGTCGATGTGTTAATATTCACACCTCAACGTCTTCATCTCTTCTCATTATGCTAAGTTCCATGTTTCTGTCTATTTTTTTTATTGCTAGTGGGGTGGGACTAAGTCCCTTGTNAACGTTCCATGTTTCTATTTTTTTTATTGGGGTGGGACTAAGTCCCTTGTACTGCGGCCACTTCTGGCCTATTGTACCAGCCTCAGATGATAGGTGAGGGTGATTGTGGAGCAATTTGTGGGATGAAGATTGGCAAGGGAAACCGAAGTACTCGGAGAAAACCTGCCGCAGCGCCACTTTGTCCACCACAAATTCCACTTGACCAGACCCGGGATCGAAACCGGGACGCCGCGGTGGGAAGCCAGTGACTAATGGCTTGAGCTATGACGTGGCCCATGTTTCGGTCTAACTGGTTAGTTCTAACTAACCACTGATCCCCCATTTAAGGAGCCCTAACATATATCTCTATACCGACCGAGCGACCGCCTCTTGTCGGCGAAGTTAGTGCCAACTTTAGCGGTTAGAAGGTGTCGTGCGGTCAGCGCAATGAATTCCCACGGTCGTTAATTTCAGTTTTCTAGACCGGAGCCGCTATTTCCTTGAAATAGCGCCTCAAATATCCTCACGAGACTGAGTGGACCCCGTTCTAGACCCACTACTTCTCAGAAAATCTGGTAGCGCCTGGAATCGAACCAGGACCTATGGATCTGTAGGCAGGAACTCTGACCACTAGACCACACGTAGTTCGCTTGCGGATTAGAACCACGGAGTTTTTTTTTATCATATGTCTCTAAGCCGGGATAGCGTAGTCGGTATAGCGACTGGCTACGGGCTGGACGACCAAGGGGTCGGAGTTCGAGTCCCGGTAGGATGAAGAATTTTCTCTTCTCCACGTCCTCCAGACCGACTCTGGGGTCCACCCAACCTCCAATAAAATGGGCACCGGGGGCTCTTTCCTCGGGGGTAAAGCGACTGGGGCGTGAAACTGATCACTCACTTCCAGCTAGTGTCGGGGTCAAAAAAATTGGGACTTATACATCCTCTTCCCCATGCGCCTTCATGGCGTAGTACTTGATTAATTAAGCACAGAGACAACTTTTACTACCTGTCTCTAAGATCCACGGTTGCTGATTAATTCTGAATGGGAACTGACCAGAGGGCATAATCCGTCAAGAAAAGGAAGGAGACAACCGAGCTAGCTGACTCAAGGGGTATACTTTCTTATTCGCATTCTAGGGGTGGCCAGTTCGAATCTCGGTCGGGGCACCAATTGCCTGGACTGGGAGTTTTTGTTGTTTTACACAGTCCCTCTAGACCTATGTTGGAGTAACACCTCAAATGTCATCATGACCACTTCATTTCACGTGTTTTACAATGTGACGCTCAGGATTCATTGTTAACATTCGACACTACATAATCTGACATATCAGCACAGTCGTTAAATAAATAAATACCGCTAAATATATTCACAGTGAAGAGAATATTGTCTATTACGTTAAAATTATAAATTTATCCCTGTAACAGACCTTGAAGGTCCATAGGATTGTGAGACGTCGAGACTCCCACATTTTCTAGTCAATCGGCTCACAGATGGCGGTGAGGTTGTCAGCCTTACGCTCCGGCCACCCTTTACCTCTCAGGAAGGTTCCTGGTACTCATTTCTGTTAGAGGATGAGTCGATCCCAAGGCCCTAGTGCAGTTGGAAGGATTAGGAAAATTAAAAATTCCAATGACTTCATTGGAAATCGGCTTATTGCATAATGCCCCAACCAACTACGCTACCGCGTGCCCCTCTATTACGTTAAACACGAACGAACATTTGACGAATTATAAAATCAAGGGTAATTGCAACATATTTGAGATCTATATGACCGACGCTGTTTGCATGTCACGTGCGCATAATTGGGTGACCTCACTTCTTTGTAAGCAATACAGAACTGTCACGACTACACGTAACAGATGTTGATTCCTTTCTAAATTTATTCACTTAATACATTCACTGGGCTCTAATTGCACCTGAAATGACGCTCATAGGGTCATTTGAGTTGCTTAAGTGTTAAACAGCTAATGAGGGCCTACATCAGTTTGCTGTGCTAGGCACAGAAATCAAATGGGTAATATACATAAATGTCCGCCCTCAAAGTATGACGCTCGAAATATATTATTTTATTTTATCGATCTCAGTGATACAGACCCGCACTAAACTTTACTGTGCCGTTTGGGTGGCATTTTACTTTGCTTTACATATAAAGTTCTGTTTGTATATTTGAATCCTTCCACGGGGTTTTATAAAGCTCGACATAGGGCTACTGGGTCGTTCACTTGAATTCACTTTAAAGGTCATTTAAGGGCCTAATTAAACTTTAGACCTGCACATCTCACCCCATCCCAAGAAACTTAAAAAAAAAAAAGGCCTAGATAGCAGACGGGTATGTGCAAGCGAAAACTGCCTGTAATGCCACTCGACAATGCGGATTACAGGTCTATATTTTTTTTTATTTCTCTGCGAATTTACAATCTACTCACTACAGTAAGGAGCAATAAGTAAAGCAGGTCTATATGAGCCTACAGAAGTGTTTCTCATTTGGTGGGACACGTCCCACTGGTAGGACTTCAAAATAAGAATTCTAGTAATGATTAATATAGTACTAAAATGTAAACGTTTGTGAAGCAAATTAAAGAACGTTGTTTTTACTGTCGTGAGACTACATTTCGTTTGACAAAATGGCAGGTGAAACGCAATATGCACTTCCCTAAAGCGAAAACCCATGTTTTCATTCGTGGTTCCTTTTAAATGCGACCTAAATAGGCGGCCAATATAAATGTGTTGAGTTTTATTACTATCGTTCAAAATTTCTTAAGTAGGCATACATGAAATAGACGTATTTCTGCCTATTGATGGCTATACACAGCATGCACAGGACATCGAATCAAGAGGAGATTGTGTCGGTGTATGGGTTAGTCCTCCCGCCTCTGTGGTCTAGTGGTCATAGTTCCTGGCTACAAATCCAGAGGTCCTGGGTTCAATTCTCGGCGCTACCATATTTTCTGAGAAGTAGTGAGTCTGGAACGGGATCCACTCATCCTCGTGAGGATACTTGAGGAGCTATTTCAAGGAAATAGCGGCTCCGGTCTAGGAAACCGAGATCCGTTGCGCTGACCACGCGACACCCTCTATCCTCTAAAGTTGGCACTAACTTCGCCGACAAGCGGCGGGTGCTCGGTCGGTATAGTTAGCTTGCGGGCTACAGGCCACGGAGTGTTTTTGCTTTGTTTATATGAGTTAGTCCATTAATAACAAAGCAGAATATCGTGTGTTCAGTAATGTGACGGAGTATGGGCTGAATTCCCTCACTTCAGAATCCCAGCAAGCCAACAAGCACTTCTCTTCGCCAGTATTTAGAGACCTGCTCAGGAGCTTATATAGCCTCGCCGAGATCAAATCGGCAGGAGCAAGGAGTTCACCAGTTTCTTAGTCTACGTGTGCTAAGACACGTGGAGATTTACGTCTACGCCCCCATACCTCGCCGCGAGCTATGTTCAAGTACATGTTAACGCAGCTGTATCACGTATTACAAAGAATTCTGGTCCCAATATGAGGGGTAGGTTCGGAAATGAACCGCAGGAAAAGGCAGGAAGATAGACACGATATCCACACCGACGGCCCATTGGTCTCGTGCAAAGAATATACTTGCAGTAATGTAATAGGTACTTTCCTAAGCGATCTTGCACATTTGTTGATGCTGTTGCTCTTGTTATTGTTTCTGAATTTTGTCTTTCTTTTACTAACGTATAAACAGTGGTACTTCACAATTTCATATGTGCAACTGTAAATATGAAAGCATAGTACCTCTCTGCTTTACTTCCCGGCCGCTTTATCGCCTGGGAGAGAGCTCCAGGCACCCGTTGGATAGGAGACTACCCGGTCTCTAAAGCCGATCTTGACTCCTTGGAAAAAAGAAAACAAGTCTTGTTCCTGCTGGGAATCGAACCCTGATTAGTTGGAAGTGTTTACAAAACGCTGTTATATCGATATTTTCCATGAAATAAAATTGAGCAGACAACAACGCGGTGGCTGGACTTAGAACTAACAGGTGGTTGATAATAGTACATTTTGTGATCAGTAGATGGCGTGAAATTTGTCGTCTGTATTTGCGCACTACCTAGCGGAGATGCTCTTAACTTTTTCATTCAGATGTCGTCAGATATGCTGTACATTA